GGTGTGATCTAGTGGTTGATGTGTCGAGCTGTTATTAATCGAAGGTTCGAAACGCGATGCCGCTGAATATACTCTGCACTTTCAGCTGTGGGCGCAGTACGGAATTGACGTTAATCGCATTATTCGGGTCGGACAGCAGGTGCTTCTGGTTGGTTGACTTTCCCCTGGTCAGTAGTTAAAAATTAGTAGTGTCTGGACTGATTGTTGAGTCCACGTGCACGTTAGGTGCCGTTTCGATTGAAATTCTAATTCAACATTAAAAACCAAAAAAAGAATCAATTTGTTACACTTTTTACAATCTCAGAGTCAGTCAACAATACTCATGTAGCTATTATAGAAAATTATGTGGGTAAATGTAACATTCAACACAGACAAAAAGGGGTGAGACGGTTCGAATGATGTCAGATTATTGCTACATTTTGTTGTAGTTGATGGATGAACTTATATTTCTTATACTAAAGTTGTGTCTTTATTGGATGTTGAAAATGTTCGATAAAATGTCTTACATAATGTGTGTATATATATTTTACAAAATATATAGGTGCGAGTTCAAGTTTTTATTTCAATAAGTAGCGTTTTTCTATAAAAAATTTTACTTCGGTGAATAGCTTGTTTGTTTATCTTAGAGCAAAGTCATATTGGGCTATCTGCTGTGTCCAACGCATGGAATCGAGCCCTAGGTTTTAGCGTTGCAAGTCCTTAAACTTACCGCTGTCCCACCGATGGATTTGTTTGTTTGAAGTTAAGAACAAAGCTACACAATGAGCTATCTGTGCTCTGCCCACCACGGGTATCGAAACCCGGTTTCTAGCATCGTAAGTCCGTAGACATACCACTGTGCCACTGGGAGGCACCCCACCGATGGACCGTTGAAAAACAACCCGACTGTTTAACTGTCTGATTAACGCAGTTTTCTGTCATTTCTCACTTTACTAGAATCTGAAGCTACATATATACATGTACATTGAAATCAGGCTAAATCTGTCTTAAGCTCTAGAGTGAGGTAAATATTGAATTTGTTTTAATCATTTCACGTAGAAAAGACGAAATAGGAGCATTCTTTTTTTTTTTAATTTCATACAATAAATATCGCGCATTTCTGGAAAATTCGTAGCAAGAAATAGACCAGGAAAATTACGCTAATCTCGAACGTTAAAGAAGTGAAATCGTGCGGGAAGAGTAATAATTGAAGAGGAATTTGATAAATATTTAAACGTGGTTCGAGTTGTGAAAACATCAAATTGGTTTAAGTAGATTCGAAACTAAGATTTATATTTTTTACAAGCTAAGAAGTTGGCACTTTGAATATTGAGCTACAATTATCCGTTAAATAATAAAATATTTAGATTGCACGCGCAGGGAACTCGTTGCCTCAAATAATTCGACAGCGATATGAACGAACCCCTTACCACCACTCCCGCCCCGAAGTTTCGCTCACCCATTATCATTTATTTTTTCCTTTCTTTGATGATGGCCTCTCATTATATAATTGCTTTTGTAACACTGGGCATACATGAGGAAATAGCATTTTCAAACTTATCAGAGGAAACAGTAAAAAAGAAAAAAAAAAACTTTAGTCAGTATACAAACTGTGATATATTTGAAAAAGTCCCCCGCTGGGACAGTGGTAAACCTACGGACTTACAACGCTAAAATCGGGGAATCGAGTCCCCTCGGTGGACACAGCAGACAGCCTGATGTGGCTTTGCTATAAGAAAACTACACATTATTTGAAAAAAAAATCTTTATTTTTTTTGTTTGTTATTATTTTCTCCAGTGGGAAGCTTTTCTATCGGAAATCGTGCAACTCACATATATTGGAAAACTAGCGTGTTTTAAGGTTTGAGAGTAGACTAATTTCAGTATATTTATATTTGATCAGATTCATATTGTTACGACAGCGGAAGTCACACAACTCTACTTTGTTCGAGGCGCCCTCCTTTTTAGTATATACGCCTGGCGAGAAAACCAACTCGATCGAAGAGATATAGATAGATATGCAGATAGACTGAAGATAGAGATAATTGAGTCAAGCGAACAGTAAGCACCGTAAGTAAAGTGTGTGAATCACTGTGATTTATAGCGTGTGTTATAAAGCTTGTTAAGTTTAAAATGACTGTGGAAATTCTGTGTATTACAAAGTTGTATCTAGAAAGAATAAACTAGTTTTAATTAAGAAAGGACTTGTATCACTGAAGTTCTTCGGAAAGAATTTATACCGGAAATTAACAAGCAGATACGCAACAATATAATGTGTATTGTTGGGTGGACCAAGTAGTCCAGTGTTTTTAAATCATCATAAGACATAATGATGACACAGAAATACACGAAGATATAATGTGGGCAAATACTTGTTCAAATGGAAAAAAAGTAGAAACCTTTCGTTAATTTTTTTTAGCTGTCTCACTCACAATTATTAATTTTTTTAACTGTTTCATTCACAAGTATTAATTTTTTAATTGTTTCACTCAGAAGTATTAATTTTTTAATTGTTTCACTCAGAAGTATTAATTTTTTTAACTGTTTCATTCACAAGTATTAATTTTTTAATTGTTTCACTCAGAAGTATTAATTTTTTTAACTGTTTCGTTCACAAGTATTATTTTTTTAGCTGTCTCACTCATAAGTATTAATGGTTTTAACTGTTTCACTCACAGTATCATTTTTTTAGCTGTCTCACTCACAAGTATTAAGTTTTTTAGCTGTCTCACTCACAATTATTATTTTTTTAGCTGTCTCACTCATAAGTATTAATTTTTTAACTGTCTCACTCACAAGTATTAATTTTTTAGCTGTCTCACTCACAAGTATTAATATTTTTCAGCTGTCTCACTCATAAGTATTAATTTTTTAACTGTCTCACTTACAAGTATTAAGTTTTTTAGCTGTCTCACTCACAAGTATTAATATTTTTAGCTGTCTCACTCACAAGTATTAATTTTTTAACTGTCTCACTCACAAGTATTAATTTTTTAGCTGTCTCACTCACAAGTATTAATTTCTTTTAACTGTTTCGCTCAAAAGTATTATTTTTAGCTGTCTCACTCACAAGTATTAATTTCTTTTAAATGTTTATATTGTATTTTTAAAGTTCATATGTCATACTGTGTTATAGCCTACAGTCTCCATAATTCTTCTCGTGATTCATGGCATGCGCACGTTTTACTGACGCCACAACAGTACAAAATGCAACGTTATGTGCCCTTATTTGACGTCATTTTAGTACCTACTGACTGACTGACTGACAGACAGACAACATACTAGTGTATAATGGTGTGAATGGTTAAAACAGTTGACCTTTCGACTCCCTTTCGGGATAAAATCAATCTAAATCATTATTTGAAAAAAGTGTGTATGTGTGTGTCTACTAATGGATGACGAGGCGCTGGACCGATTGTTTGTTTGTTTGTAATTAAGCACAAAGCTACACAATGGGCTATCTGTGCTCTGACCACCACGGGTATCGAATCACGGATCCTAGCGTTGTAAGTCCGCAGACATACCGCTGTGCTACTGGGGGCGGATCGATTGTAACCAAACCTGCACTGTGCCGTTAGGATCTTCTGGGGAGTGACATAGGAGTGTTGGCATTCGGATTTGACCCACTCCCCTCCTTCCATGCATTGAACGAGTATCAGCTAATAAAGTACCATCCAGCTTAGTTTGACCTCTTACTGCTTCACAATAACTCATATAAGATTGTGTTCTCTTATTCAAGTAAAATACGATTTTATAAACGTTATAATTTTGATGTAATTCAAGTTGGCTTTAATGTTACAAGAGCTCCCGAAAACCTGACACCGATGGAAACTCTACCAGTGATAATAGCACCAGAAAAAAAGCAAAATGGGAAAAAGTTGCGCCATTTCTTTCTGGGGGGGGGGTCAAAATTGTATTATGCTCATCGTTTCCAAATAACAAAAATTTTTCCTACTTTGCATTATTAATGTCGTTATTTTTATCAGTCCCCCCAGTGGCTGAGGGCTTGTACACTAAAATTGGGGTTTCGATACCTGCAGTCGGCAGAGCATAGGTAGCCCGTTGTGTAGTTTTGTGCTTAAAAACAGAACATTTTTATCAAGAACCATTATTATTGGTGCCTGGTAGGGCAGCAGTAAGTTTACGGACTTATAACATTAAAATTCGGAGTTCCATTCTCTGCCATGGACACAGCAGATAGCCAAATGCAACTTTGCTCTAAAAACACAAAAAACAAACAGTTGGCGGTGCCATTCCAATTGTCCTTGATTTCTGGTGTCAATTTTAGTCGTGACATTAATACTGAATAATATTTGCATTTTTAAATGCGGCATACTGGCTCATAAAATGGCTCCGAGTTGTTGTTTTTTTAAGTGCAAAATTTTAGCTCATAGCTCCATCTCTTTACCGATTTGAGATCTAATTACAGCCGCGGCCATTGAGGATTCCTTCTCGTCTTTTTTAGTGATGTATTGTGACTTTCATAATGGAACAAGTTTAACCACAATTAAAAATCTGAGGAGTCACATCATAGCATTTAAAAATATTAACTGGTATTTCAAACAGTATAAACTTTAAAAGATAATTCTAGACAACATTTTGTCAAATTATCTAATGCTGTTGCCTCCCGTTAGCAAACATGCTCGCTCTTTCAGCCGTGGGGGCGTTATAATGTGACGGTCAATCCCAAGATTCGTTGGTAAAAGATTAGCCCAAGAGTTGGCGGTGGGTGGTGATGACTAGCTGCCTTCCCTCTAGTCTTACACTGCTAAATTAGGGACGGCTAGCGCAGATAGCCCTCGTGTAGCTTTGCGCGAAATTCAAAACAAGTAAACAAGCCTCCCATTAGTAAACGCATAATAACAGGCCTATCAGTATTCGGAACTACTAAGAGCACGTGATATTACGAGCATGTAATTAAAATATATTTCTCAATTTGGGTTGCGTTCTTCGCGCCCCAAGCTAAGTTTCCTTGAACTTGCGCGCACGTCCCGTTACAGCAGTATAAAACTATTATAAGAAGCTGGTGGCCTACAGTACTCGTTGGTTTGTCGAGGAGAAGAACTCGTGCAGGTTCTGTACCATTTATTTAAACTTTAAAGATTGAACAGTATAACAACCACGGAGAGCCGTATCGCGAGGTTTGGAATTCAGGATATAACGTAAACGAACTTTGAGATTTTGGTAATTGAATTGATGATATTTCGTGTCGTTTGATATGGCGGAGCCTGAATTAGCTAAGAAGTTAGCCCGTCGTCAGGTTATTAACAGCTCGGAAATTGTCTGTTCGATTAACCAAACCTTCAACCCTTATACGGAGTTTCCCGATTTTTCGAGAAAGGAAATAAAAGAATATGAAAAAATGTTTAAAATGTAAGTAACGACTTGTATTTTCATTCGTTATACAGAAAAATAAAGTAAAATTCGATTATTAACGTGCTTGAAAGTTGTTGTGAAGCCAAAATTTTACCAAAAAGAAAACTCTGGTGTACATTAAGTGTCATAAAATTAAAAATGTGTTAATTATTATTTATGTGAGAATGTTCTGTTTGTGGGTTGATTACGAATTTGGAATTGTCTTTGATTTGGTGTACACTTGTCGGACCCCATGTTTGGCCTTGTGATTCCCAGTGCTAATCTTTCAAAAAAAAAAAATTAAAAGCTATAAATATGATAAGAAAAATTAAAATAAATAGCAAAACTTTTATCTTTAGTTTTTTTAATTCCTACCATTGCTCTATGGTTTTGAAAACACAAAATGTATTAATTGTATCAAATGAATTTATTAACTTTCCACTTTCTGTTTCCGAATGTGGGTGGGGGGGGATCTGAATAAAATGGGCTTCGTTACTATAATTACAAGACTCTGATAAAGTGCTGACTTTGTAAACCTGGGGGGGGGGGGGTAGCGTTGATGAAGCTTAAGGTCCAGGAAAAAAATAAATAAATAAAAAGGGTAAATTTAAAAACATCTGCTTCTAAAGACACATACGTACACTGACTGGAGTTGTCGAATTTCCGTACAGTGTTTACAATTACTGTGATTTAGAAGAGCATTGAAAAAAAAAACAGTTTCCTAACCAGCGGGCTATGCTAATTTTCACACCTGACCGCGAGAAGCTTTAAAGTTTACAATTGACATTATATTCACGATCATGGGTATCCATTCGAAACGTGCAAGCTTTTTCAAAACCTTAATATATCGTAAAATAAACATAATGGTAATATTGTTAGATATATATATCAAACTTTGTTTTCGTTTGAAGTGAAAGTCTCATGAATCTTTGTGGGCCACAGCAGGCAACAATATAATCGAATGTAGGTCCTCAATTTAAAAAAAATGTTAATTGGAAGGAACTATTTAACTGGAATTGGGAAAACGATTGGCAATAAAGTTCCCAGGGGGGGGGGGAGAAGAGGTGAAATATATACATCTAAAACTATTATGTGCTTTAATATTACTATTAGTAACTTGACCATTCTGAAAATGAAAACCTGCTACTTTGATTTCATTATAATAGTCCTGAGTAAATATAAAAGTTGTAAACATGGTAACTACATAGTCTAGCTCCTATACGTCTATTAGTGTTACATCAATGACATTCCTTTTTGTTTTCAAGTTTCTAAGTTTGAATAAAAATTCAAATTGGCTTTGATATTTTGTTTCTAATTTCGATTTGTTTATGCGCCTCCTACAGTGTAAATTATATCTGTAAATGAAATGTAAAATAATAGGAAATTCTACCAATTTGAATATTTATGGTAATCTTCTGTTTCTGTCACTATTTTGTACAAAGCTTTTTTTTACAATAATGAAGGTCGATTGATCATTGGAAATGTCTTCTCTTGTGAATGATTCAAAGTTGTTATGAAGATAAAACCTCTAGTATAAAACTACGTGACCATTTGAAGTAAGTTGCTTCTTTGCTGTTGAAATGTCTTCATTACATTACACATACTTCCATTATGTTCTTATTTTACTATACATAGTGTTCATGGAAGTAACGTGTGGTTTTGTTACTAAACTATGCTAGAGAAATTCCAACTGACCAAAAATATAGCTAAGTACATTTTTCTGCTTATAAAGATTAGATTGCATTGTTTCATCAATTTGGTACTTTTGCTTGTAACGATATTGTTTAGTTATAGTCCCAATAATATCTCGCGAGATCTCGCCAGCATAGGCGATTTAGGTTAAGCCTAAATTCATACATTAAGTTCCACAATGAGAAACAATCTTTATAACGAAAGTATATTTAAAAGAAAAAATAAACTCAAAGTTGGACAGGGGGGTGGGGGAGTACCTACCACACAAAATTGGTTGATAACATGGCTGTTATATCTTAAATGATGGTGAGACGTAATAAAGTTATTGAGTACTACATAAACCGGAGGACTGTCTTAAGGGACCAGAACGAAGGTATTTTTAACATTTTGTTTATTAAACATTCGTATATATTTCTATGATCATATGTGTGTCCTACGTCAGACTTCATTTACTAGACTGGTAGTTGGATATAGAAGATGCTGGAAGAGTAAAAAATGTAAAATACTTATTGTTACATTTTACTCTCGTGTTCCTATAATGAAGACCATTTAGAACTAATGTGTTGCATAAGTGTCACGTTCAGGTATCTAATTAGGCAAACCGCGTATATACAGCTAAGCTAACCAGTAATTACTGCAAACAAACTATACTTTTATCTAGCTTAAAAATCTATAATGTATATTTTGAAATAAGCAGGTACGGAGGCTCGGAAAATGTTTTAAATGAAATATGTTGTTGTTTTTTTCCGCTGGAAGAAGGGACGGCGGATCTCGGTTGAGCAATATTTCCAACACTTTGGCTGTAACCCCTTTTTAGAAACTCTGCATGACTATTATAATACACACAAAACTAGTTTCATGTATATCCAACACAGTACAAAGTAGATACGAATAGCAATATTTCTTTATTATTTCTTCTTCGTTCGTTTCGTGTGGCTGACACCAAACAAGTGTCTCGAGATTCTTTTCAGCAAGGTGTGAAAGTAGGTCGCGCTGAAACTTGCCAGCAAAAAAAAATTGTAAACACAACTCAACTGAATAGTGAATATTTTTGTTTGATCCTCAAAGCAGTAAGTAGGCCCGAGGGGTAGGTTCATGTGATTAAAACTTTTGTTAGTCACTTGTCTTCGTCCCCGTCCCACCAAATATGCTCGCCCGTTCAGCTGTGGGGGCGTTATAACGTGACGATCAATCTCACTATTCGT